AGTTAAAGACAATGTTATGTCCTAGTTTAATTATTTTTAATGCCTAGAATGTACGAATCCATTTTGTAAAACATGTTCAGGAAAACAATGAACTTTGCCTCATGCTGTAACTAAAAGCCTTTTCTTTAACCTCAGTTTTATAGCTTATTTTTTTTTTATATATAGTACTAAAAACATATTTCTGTATTGTAATGACTGTTAGTAATTTCGTTTTATTTTAGAGCTGAGTAAAAATCTAATTGTTTTTTTTTCAAATTTATATGTATGTTATTTTATTTTGTACTATATTTTCTTAATGTTTATATTAATTGAACCCATTTTTGTCTATATTAGTTCAATAATACATAATATAATATATAATAAAATAAAAATTTGTTATTTTTTAGTTTTTGTGTGTTTTTTCACTTTTTAGAACGCGTAGTTCCACAGACTACGCCGGACCGTTTATGATACATATCTATTACCGGACCAGTTAAGGGTTAAAACATAACATAATAAATATTATAGGAAAAGACAAAAGAAGTAAGAACAATAAGAAATAGCATCATTACTTATTTAGAAGAGTTTGATCTCGACCGCTAGAAAGGATCAAAGTACTTTTTCATGTAACAACAAAATATTTTTTTAATTATTGTTACCGAGACCAGGTTCTGTGGCCAAAAAGATCTGAACCTAATAATTGGTAGTATTAATTAGAGTTTCTGGTACCGTACTAAAATATTTTCGTTCAATGATTGTGGAGCTCGTCAATTAGCACGCAAGGGATGGTTTTCAAAAGTTAAACCGATAAAAAATTGAGTTTTAAATGAAAATAATATAAAATTATTAAGTTATAAAAGTAATGAAAGTAAACATGAACACAAATAATGAACACAAGCGAAAAAAACACAGAGGTAGCTTAAAAATTACACAAACAACATCAACCAATCTCGAAACCAACTTAACTAAATTAGGAAAAAAACTTGACATTTTCAATTAAAGATGCCAATGCCTATACAAATATAACAAAAAATATAACTAATACATTCAGTAATATTACACTAATAGTAAAATCACAATTTAAAATTCAATAATTGCTAATAAACATTATAGAAACTTCAAAATAACTTCAGAAGTAAGAACAGTAAGATTTAGCATCACTACTTAATTAGAAGAGTTTGATTTCGACCGCCTAGAAAGTATTAGAAGTCTTTCGCACGTAACAAAATATTAGTGGAGTGCCCCGAGACTTTTACCTCGGAATTCAATAACTGTCAATGTATTAATGTGAAATCTTCTGTATTGTGTTTTATAGATAAAATACTGAAATGTTTACCCATTTTTTTCGTTGCTTATAATTTTTTATTTTAGTAATCTTAGTAAATTCTTAGTTATTTCTTTCTTAATTTTTTGATTTTTTAAATTTTTTTTCTAAGTAAATTTATTGAAATAAATGAATCTAATGTATAAGCTATACCTATTCTGCTTATATTCTAATCATTGAAATTTTGATTGAAATCGAATTATACAGGGTGGCGCGTCATATACTAAGCGGTTTTTGCAAGGAGAACAAAAGTTTGTATTGAAGTGAAATTTTGTGAGTTTATGTTAATCAATTTAAAGCATTTTTTAAAATTATATAGAGTTCTACAGGGTGTCCGTAAAAAAAGTTACACGTCAAAGTTGTGTTTTTTGTAATGGTACACCCTATATATTAATTAATTTTCGGATTCTAGTAAAAAAATAAAGGCAAGTTTCATTAGAAAAGTATATGACTAAAATGTAGAGTTTTTGAAATACATGGGCACAAAAATGGGCACCTTAAAATTTTGATGTATTTTAAAGTTTAATATATTTTGTTCTGGTGGGCCGATTTTGATGATTTTTTAAGCAGTATGTAGCCAATTTATTTGAATTTTTAGTATATCTTTCCAAATTAAAAATGAAACTCCCTATCTGTTAATTATACGAGGTAAAACGAAATGTTGATATTTTGGTGAAAGTTTGAAATACCCTGTGGAATATGTTAAAACACCAAGAAATTTTAAAGTCATTTTATCATCTAGATATATCCTTTGTCGATAGTTGGTTTTTCCGTTCACCTCATTAGCTGTATTTTTGTTGGAGATATTCGCTTTTGAAGAAGACACTAACATGTTTTCGTAATTTTTACATTAAGACCATGCCTTTGCTTTTGGTCCTAGTCAACAGATTTAGTAAGTTCTGGTCCCGAAGTATTCCTTCTTGACATAATATTTGTTTCATTTAGTCTTCTTCTTATAGTCCTTTAGTTAATATGTGCATTTTTTATACGTTCCTTAGGTGCAATTTATTATAAATTTGAAAAGCTGGCAAACGGCGGTTTCTTAGCGATAAACTTACAATACGAACAAGTAGATCCTCTCGATTAGAAGTTCTCATACGAAGGTTCCTGGACGTCTAGATTGCCATCCTCATGGACGTGGTCATAATTCAAAAACCACTCAGTATACTCTCCATAGAGTATACTTAATATCTTAATACCATTATTAAGGTATTTTTGGAATCGGAATCTTATAGAAAATTCACTAAACTAAACAAATAAAGCATTTCATTTGAACAATTAAAACTTAAGTGTAAAAATATATTTGTATATCTATAAAAATATTTTTGAAATGTGAACTACCATTAAATGTATATTTTGTAAAAGATTTGGCATGAAAAGCTCAAATAGGAATCCTGATACAGAGGTTGTTCGGAACACGGCGCCATCTTGTGTGTTTATTTAAATACTGAAGTGAAAGCAACGAATTTAAATGGGTATACTTTGTAATAGGTTTGTAACATATCTTATTAACAATACAATGCAAAAAGTTTTATAAAAATTCGTTCGCAGTAAATGAATTCCGAGGTTTGTATCCCATAAGGGCTTAAAGCACTCCACTATATATGTTTTTAATTATTATTACCGAGTCCCGAAAGTACCGAAAGAACCGAGAATTAATAATTTCGAATCCCGGTTCTTTGATGTGTCTAAAGAACCGGCAATTCCCGGTACTTAAGGTACCGGGATTATTACCTTGTAAGGTTTTTAGTTCGTTACATGTCTTTTTTATATATGATATATATGATGTCTGGCGTATCGTCATCGGATTCCGTATCGTTCAGGCCTGATAATTTATTTGGCACGCTTGGCGTAATTTTTACGTTCCCTAGTCACCAACCCTGTTATCGTTTGACACAACCCTGTTATTGCTCTGAGGAGGCGCTGTCAACATCGCTTCTGTCAACTCTCTCCGTGTTTAACCTCACTTTGTTTTGCCGCTCTGTTGTATCCCGGCTTTTAGAAATGGTGATTATTTAAATCTTGCTGTATAATTTGAATCAGCTGCTATTTCAAAGCAACAGGTAAAGATGAGATATTATCCTTTTAGATTCGATATTATTACTGCATATTTTTAGGGTAGAGTTTTGGATGTCCCAACTTAACTTGTATTTGTATTTTGCTGGCACGTTGGCGTCCCTTTTCTTTTGTCCTCCAGAATGTTACATGGAAGAAAGGACAGTTTCTTTGTTTATTATTGAGCCCTCGGAAGTAATTCGAGGTAGGTTTATTTTGTTTATTAGACCTTGTTTGGTTTTAAACAAGAGTTTCATATTTTTAGGGTCCAAGGTACGGACTATTTACCAGGTACGGGCATTATCTAAGGTCCTAGTAGTATCCAAGGTACGGGTAGTGTTCCCCTGTACCGTTGTCTTATGGACGGACTGTGTCCAAGGTTATGATCCAAGGTTATGGTCCAAGTTACAGACATTATCCAAGGTCCTAGTAGTGTTCCAAGGTACGGGTAGTGTCCCCATATTGCCACAGTATGGATACAGCGTAAGCCCCATGCTGCTTCGCTCCCATTTCTAAACCTAGTCAGTAGCTACGGCTGTATTGATTCATGGTGTCCTCATTCTGGCCTGTTTTGTTGTTTTGGCCAACAGGATCGCCGACAGACAGTACAGAGATATGAGCCTACCTCACGCTGCTACTCTTCGAAACAGGGTTGCCTCAAGAACAACTAAGTGTAGATTTAGATTCTAGTTTTCAGTCGATTTTCAGTCTTAACTAAATAACGTACATTTTAAATAATATCGTACAGACTATATTTAATGGTTAGATTATTAAGAACATTTATGTCGATTTAGTAGTTACAATACGATTTAGATTTTAGGTTTCATTACATTACGCCTTGTAATAGTATTACTTTTTTATAGATATTATTATTGTACTAACATCCTATAAAATATATTATCAAATTAATTAAAGTAATGCTACATTTCATATATTCTCTTAAACTTTACATGTCTTGTATTTTATCATAGTTGTTTTCATAGATATTTAGTACAATTCTTAACACCACTTTCGTTGACATATAACCACTATAATAATTATTAAAATTGTACAATGCTATTTACCATCACAGTCCATCTTGAATAAATATAGTCATTAGTTTTAAGTAATATACGTGTTATATAAGTGTTTTCTTTCTCTGTACATGCCTGGCGCCCAATATCTATATTTTTTTTTATTGTTATTGATTAATTTTCTCTCTAGTGAAATACCTTACCCACGACTGCTCTCCGATGAAAAGCTGCCGTTCGCAGTGGTAATGTTTATAAAAAACGCTAAACCTAATTTGGCACCCATAAGCGTGGGGCTTTGAGAAATTTTTACTCGTAATGTATTTCACTGGAGTCTGACAATTTTCCTAAGTAATATACAACTGTGTTTTCTTTCTCTGTACATGCCTGGCGCCCAATATCTATATTTTTTTTGTTTATTGTTATTGATTAGTTTTCTCTCTAGTGAAATACCTTATCCATGACTGCTCTCCGATGAAAAGCTGCCGTTCGCAGTGGTAACGTTTATAATAAACGCTACAGCCTATTGTATATGTATTATTTTGTTATTGATTTTATTAGTAAAAGGGTAGCAATCTAAAAAAAGTTGTGCAGGTATACTTGCTGCGAGATTTATTTACGTCAAAGTGACTTTATTCATAGTATTATTTCTAATGTCAAAAACAATTTTTTAAAACATTTATAGTACTTTTAAAGGGCAATTTAATTAATCAATTATATTACGAGTACTAATCCAAAATGGCGAATGCTACAAAAACTATTATAGATACTTTGGATTTTCATCCAACCTATAAACCTTATGGAATGGACAATTATCGATTGGAGATTTTGACCAAGGGCCAACAAAAATACTTGAATAATCATAAAACTGAAAGAATAAGACAAGACCATAAATATTTATATGATCACCCTGAGGTAATTCATTCCCTTTTTATTGATAAATATAATATTTTTGTTTGACCGCAATAGTCTTGCATGCTTGATATTTGTCTTGGTCTTGCGATTGGTCTTGCGTAAGTCATGCACTGGTCGGTTTTGGTCTTGCATATCTAAATACACCCTCTACACTATGATGTAATATTCCACAAGGTTAATATTTTAACATGCGCTTATAATATGCTCTGTATAGTAGATATAAAAACAAAACTTGTCACTTAATCTGCAGGACAGTGGCGGATACAAAGAGGGGGGCCCATGGGGCCCGGGCCCCCCTAAAATCTGTAAATTGGGTTAAATATTAGGCTTTTGGGTTAAAAATGGCGCCCTAAAAGGCATATTTGGCATTATTTTTTATTTGGCCCCCCACTAAAATAAATTTCTGTATCCGCCCCTGCTGCAGGACTAGGTATATTTACAATACTATTTAATTTTATTAAAATGAATTAGAATATAAAATTATATACCGGGTGTTGCATCGTCGGATGGGACAGGAAATCCCATGTAAATTTTAATGGGGTCAATTATTGACTTCCCTAATTATTTTAGAGAATAATTTTATTTAGGTTTATTGAAGAGCACTAAAATCCACATTCAACAGAATAACTTTAGATATTTTTGATTAGCTCGTTTACGAGTTATCGCCGATTTCTTTTTAAATATTTCTCCTTTCTTAAATAATTTTCTTAAATAATTAAAGTAAAATAAAGTAATCAATTACAAGGTTAATTATAGTATTATTACAATATTCAATAACTTATTTATTTAGGTACTATTAAATTGTTAGAACTTTAGGATTTAAGAAGATGTTCAAATATTCCTCCATCGACTGCTAGACAATAACCCAGGCGATCATTAAATTCTCTTCTTACATTCGCTAGTTGGTAAACTGGAATTCTATTCCATTCGGCAGAAATAGCATTTTTTAACTCGTCTAGATTTGGGTATTTTTTATCCTTGTATATCCTGTTTTTTAAATGGCCCCAGAGGTAGAAATCATTTGACGAAATATCAGGAGACCTTGCTGGCCAATTTACTGTATGATTTAGGCCAATAACGTTTCCGTTAAAACTATTGTCTAAATATTCCCGAACAGCCAGGGTACTATGTGCCGGGCCGCCATCCATTTGGTACCAAACTTCCTGATTTTCCCTAGAGGCATCATGTAAAGCAGGTAAAATATGATTTTCGAGTAGTTCCAAATAATATTCTGCATTTAAATTTCGCGTAAGAAATAATGGCCCGATTATATTGTGTCCGAATATCCCTGCCCAAACATTTACTTTCTGTGGATATTGCGTCCTTGTTTCGACAAACCTGTGTTGGTTTTCTTTGTTTCAATATCGATAATTTTGTACATTATTTGGGTTCATTATTTAAGGTAAACGTGCATTCGTCAGTGAAACATATGTTTTTTTAAATATTCCCTATCCGTGTTTGCTCTTTCCATCATATCAAAACAAAACGCCTCCGCCGTATTTCGTCCCCATCTCGTAGCTCTTGGTGCTTTTCATATAGTTGTTGTTAGAAGGAATAGTATTTATGTCGTTTCAAAATCTGAAACGCTGTAGTGCGATCTATTCCTATTTCATCCTCAAGTTTCCTTGTGCTGATTTTTCCATCGTTCTCTTCCGCGCACAATAAAACTTCCAAGTCGGTATCATTTCTTGCATCTTCTCTTTGTTCCTGCCTTGCTTCACATCTGCAGTTATTTATTAGGGTACCTTTAATCTCTGGATATTTCTTGCATCTTCTCTTTGTTCCCGCCTTGCTTCACATCTGCAGTTATTTATTAGGGTACCTTTGGTCTCAAATCTCTGGATATTCCTTGCGATTGTAGATTTTCCAAGTATCGGTCTATTCGGATACAGAGCAGCAAACATGTCCGACACCTTTTGATAACTATTTCCTTGATAATACCATTTAATCATCAATACTTTTTCTTCGGTAGTGTAATTCATGGCTAATATTTTCGATGTAGGTATGTAGTTTTTAATAATAGTTATAAAGCACTAAATAGATAAATTTCTGAAACGACAACTTCATTTGACAGTTATCTTTTACCTTGAGTGGTGCTCATAAGTAAATACAGGGCCATAAGAAAGGAGAAATATTTAAAAAGAAATCGGCGATAACTCGTAAACGGACTAATCAAAAATATCTAAAGTTGTTCTTTTGAATGTGGCTGTTAGTGCACTTCAATAAACCTAAATAGAGTTATTCTCTAAAATAATTAGGGAAGCCAATAATTGACCCCATTAAAATTTACATGAAATTTCCTATGTCCCGCTCGACGATGCAACACCCAGTATGTTATAATTGTTTACGGTCCTAATTGATTAATATAACGGTAGAATTGCTTGACGAGCAATACTCTGGTAACATCATCAAAATATATCGAGCTGATTGGGAGTTATTGATTGACCCGATGTCAATAAAAATATGGTCCACGGACATTTTTAAAAAGCAATGTTCTCTTATTGCTTTAAGAGAAAACTGCTAGTGAAGAATAAGAAATAATTAGACGATTTTTTAAATAGTTTTACACCCTGGATAGTGTTGTATTTCATTGTTAATAAACCAGAGACATGCTAAAACAACAATATTTTCTTTTATCTCAAGATAGGTTGCTTAGGCGCAACGTCAAAGTTGATTTTGTCTGAGGTTGTTTACTTTTTTGGTTTTGTGACGCTTATCTTTGAATTGTTAATGTTGTGATTTGCATAATTGGGCAGCGATTTTTGAGCAGGAAATACAATTGTTGTTTTTAAGTATTTTGGAGTAAGTTCATAATACATTTACGTCCCGTGTAAAATAGAAAAAAGGATTTCTTTTAAATGTTTCGTAAAATTTATTTTGTAACTTTTCAAATACAGGATTTATTCATATTTATTTCCGAAAGACGTATTCATATTTATTTTCGTTTTTATTATGACTATTCCTTTTATCTAAAGAGTAATTTCAAGAAGTGCCAAAAACTTCAAAAATTATTTTTTTAGAGACAATGTCAATAGATAAAAAATATTCGTTTTCTATTCGTTACGAAGGCAGTCCCTTTGAAGTTAAACATACACATGTCTTAACTATGTTTTGAACGCAATAAATGTAGTAAAATGCGAGGGCGGTCTAAAATATATATTTTTTTTAGACCGAAATTTTAATTTTTATATTATTTTCGAAAAACTTTACCACCCTGTATCTTAAAAGTTATGACGTTTAAGATATACATTCGTATGAAGTTTTCTTCTTAACATGGGTCTAAGAATCATCTCCTGAATACTAGCGTACTATATCCGTTTAGGAACATCTATATTAGTGACTTATTATTTAAACAAACACCCTGTATAAAAGTACGATTAATTTATTTTACTTATATAATCTACGTGACTTTCCGACTATCGTTCAAAAAATATACGTTTCAACTTTCCAAAACATGTATTTTTTGAACATGTAATCTATTTATTACCGCCTAATTCTGCAATATTGACTTGTGCTCCAGAACAGTTCATTATTGCGCTGCAATTTTACGATTTTAAGTTTTGGAAATATATTTTTTACTATATTGTAATTAATAATATTAGACACTGATTAAAACTAAATATTCTTGTGTAACCGTAGAGGATTAGTAAATTTAAACTACCATCAGTAACTGTTTTCCAAATGCACTGCTTTTGATTTTTCATATCAGCTTAATATAGTGGTATTACATTACATTCCATTACAAACAAATGATATTTATTCATACTCTATTTTTATTTATTTTTCTGAAGCCACAACAAAGTTTGAACTTGATTGCTTCGCGAAGTAGTACGAAGAATATAGTGTTATATAAGTTTTGTTGAAACTCATCGAAACGTTTCTCGAAACATTTCCGGAGACTATTCCAATAACAATAAAAAACAACCAGCCACACAGCAAGCATTACCACCGTTACCGTTTTCTTTTTTATTACAGTCCCCACGATAACATCCTTATTGTTTTCTCTGCTCCAAGGAGATAGCAACGAGGTATGTTGGAGTACCTCTGCAGCGGTTTTTCGGTAACGCTTGCGAATTGTGAGCTACTGCTTTACCAGGTTGCAAATGGTGCCTCGTGCCTGGTTTGCTTCGATTTTTCTCTTTTTTTTTAGGATCACTAGTTTATCAGTAGAGGGAGATGGCCGATTCTGTGTCAGGCGGAGGCGGAGGGAGTGACGTCATCAGCTAAGAACATGTAAAATAGGCTAATAAACAAGAATAAATAGGTTTGAACCGCTTTTGAACTGCTTTGAGCCGTTTTTAGCTTAAAACAACAGACCTGTTCATTTTTTGTCTAAACCTGTTTATTTCTATTTTAAAGCGGTTCAAACCTGTTTATTCTCGTTTATTACCCTATTTTACATGTTCTTAGCTGATGACGTCGCTGATGACGTCGCTGATGACGTCACTCCCTCCGCCTCCGCCTGGCGCAGAATCGGCCATCTCCCTCTACTTTTATCGTTGCTGATTCCTTCCGTATTAATGAAGCCGGAAGACAGAAACACTAAGTGTCTACGGGTAGATATATTTTAGTCATGACTTCATGGCTAATCTTATTGTAGGTTTGCCCAATAATTTCGTTTTTCTTTTTATTACAGTCCTCACAGTACCTCACGATAATATCCTTTGTTTATTGTTTTCTCTGGACCAAGATGATAGCAACGAGATATGTTGGAGTACCTCCGCAGCGGTGTTTCGGTGGTAACGCTTGCGAATTGTGAACTACTGCTTTACCAGGTTGCAAATGGTGCCTCATGCCTCTTTTGCTTCCCTTTTTCTCTTTTTTTAGGATCACTAGTTCATCGTTGCTGATTCCTCCCGTATTGATGAAGAAACACTAAGTGTCTACGGGTAGTCATATTTTAGTCATGTCTTCATGGCTAATCTTACTGTAGGTTTGTCCAATAATTTCGTTTTTCTTTAATATAAAATATATCGGTTTAAATAATTCTACGTCTTCCGATGCCATCTCTCCATGCCTGTCTGTCTCTCCATTCATCGTCTCCGATAGCTCTTTCCTCCATAAACTTTCAATTCCTTCCTGCCAACTTCTTCTCGGTCTAACCGGTTTTCTTCTTCCTGCAGGTTTCTAGTTTATGATTTGCTTTGGGATTCTTATTTCTACCATTCTTTGGACATGCCCGTGCCATATGACGACGCTATAACACGCTATGACACGTGTGATGGTCGATTTGCCGGTCCCAGATCTCACCGACTTGTGTTACGGCGCGGCGTGTTGTTCCCCGCTTGTCTCTCTAGTCCCGCAGCTATCTACTCTTTGTACTTTATGTCTGTTCTTTATCTCGTCCACTTTTGTATGTTTAACTTCCATAATCTCTCTTAAGTACTCTCTTAAGTACTACTAAGGTTGCCTAACCATCTAACAAAGATTTTTCTAGATATATTTATTTTTATAATCAAGTGTAAGTAGATTTTTATTATTTGATAAAATCTAGGTGGCTGTGATATGTCTGACGTTACTTCAACATAGCGGTCACATTAGTTCAACTTTAACAACTAGTTATCAATTTGTGTCAGTTAAAACAAAAAAAAATCTCAGAAATTTGCCGAAAATGGAAATTTATCCTACATCAGAGAGAATTGATTTGGTTCTGACTGATTCACCAATTAATAGAATATTCAAATGATCTATATTATTTAGTCTCGACTTTTTTTATGGGGGTATATTAAAAACAGTGTTTACAAAACTCGGCCAACTATTGTCGACAACATGAGAGAAATTATTGTGGCTGCTTCTCGAAATAGAACTCCACATAAATATGCTTTTTAACACGAAAAGGTCTCTTGAAAAGAGGATGATTTTATGCAGTTAACAGAAAATAAAGCAATTTAAGCATTTAATAAATCTAATTAATTTTTGTCACATACTTATACGTTTATATCTACTTTTAATTCTGTAATAATTAAAAGATGTTTTAAATATGTATTTTTTTATTACCGATGAATATTTTACTCTACATCCTTTAATTTTTGTTAAATTAATAAAAAGTATATCCACAGCCCCACCTAGATTTTCAAATAATTAAGCAAAATTATAAAAATGAAAATATCTAAGAAAATATCTGTCTAAGAGGTAGGCAACCTTAATAGTATTTTGAAGATATATCAATTCTCCATTGAATATCGAAATAATATACTGGGTGTTTCATTTAAAATAAAGGAGTAACTTGCTTTTAAATGTGACCAATGTTCAATATTAATTTTGTCTCACCCTGTATAGCTTTTCGGGTCAAATTTTAATTTAATTTAACATACAACGGTTATTTTAACTAAATACACTAACTATATATGAATCTATACAGGGTAAATTACCATTTAGGTAGATGTTATTGAAATTTAAATTTTATTCTTCATTTTCACGAAATGTGAATAATATATAGGGTGTACCATTACAAAAAAAAACAACTTTGATTCGTAGCTTTTTTGGGATACTCTGTAGAATCTTTTATATTTTTAAAAAATGCTGTAAACTAACCTACATATGCTACAAAAAATTTCATTTCGATGAAAGTACCCTTCTCCATGGAGCCTCCGCGTCATATGAGAGGCGCCATCCTGTATAAATAATAGCAAAATATATTAATATTTCAAAATGGTGCGTTATTTTTTTGTATATTTTATAATGAATATATTTATGAAAGATCCCGTCTGGTTAAGTAAAAAATTCTCCATATGTAATGTATTTTCATTAACTTTTCGAAACGGACCATAAAAAAAATTGATGTACTGTTAAGAATTCTGGTGTTGCTCAAGCAATTAATATTTAATGCTGACAATGTTATTAATATGGAAAATTGCATGTTATCGTTAATAGTACTGTTATAATCTTCACCTAAAGTTTACCGTATCAAAGACCGTATATCTCTAAACCCAAATATCAAATTTACAGCCAATATAAAGGAAAAACAGCTCAATAAAAAATTCTATAAAAGTGCCTATTGTTAGAAATGGACTTGACAAAATTGAATGGACCATCTAAGGAGCTCTATTAACATGCATTGATGCTTTCAATAAAGCGTAGATAATCTTTCATGTATGTAAAATTAATGAAATTGAGGTTTGAAAATTCGTTTTTTTTTATTTTAATACAATTACCGCCTCTATAGCATTTCGTATATACAGTATGTCCTCGGATTATCTTTACAAAAGGAAAAACTTTTTTATTATTGACATTTTGAGAAAAATGCATTCTTCATAAAAATTTAGCTTGTTCTAAAATGGTTAATCCCGTTTATACTTTTCCAAATTTCCATACCGTTTTTTTACCGTTTAAATGAAAGTCTACAACATGAAAATATGGTTGAAAGTCCAAAAACAAAAAAAAACTTCGTTTTCATTATTTGATAGATTGTAATTCATAGAAATTTAATTAAAGTAATCTTTTTTGTTGTTTTAAAATGTTAAAGAATCACAAAATTTTAGATTAATGCTACAGTTGGGGGTTGGAACCTTTGGTGTTACACAGCAAAATAAAACACTAAATGACCACAATACCCCAAAACTCTTTAACTTTTACACTGGACGCGTGTTTCGCTAACCATGTTAGCATCATCATCAGACAGAGCTGCAACAAGTCAGTTTTAAAAAGACGTATGTAAGTCTTAAGTCATGATTTAAATGATTTAAGTTTTAGGTCCACTTCAATATAAAGTTCAAATGACTTAAGTTTTAAGTCTTTGACTTAAGTCATTGTTGTCAAGACAAATATAACATTATTTAAGCCTTCATTTCTTTTTTTACCTAAATCATTGATAATCTGCAAGTTAAGTCAGTAAAATGACTTAAATCAATATAATTTCCCTCAAGTCAAGACAACCAGAATTCTAGTCCAGTTAATATTAATTTTATTCTATTACCCATAACCGATTTTTCTATTATCTATATTAATTTATTGTAGATACAGATTAGAATAAAATATTATATAAACAACTATAATAAGCAATAAAAAAAATAAACGGCATCAAGGACATAAAAATACACATATAAAAACATCAACAACTTAAATAAAATTAAATTTTGTAGTACTTTGTACAGGTTGTCCCATTTTTGTGTGTTTTACAGGGTTTCTCGTCTGTGAGCAGCGGTACAAAGATGCGGTTTTCACAGTTGCTACTTTTTTATAAAACTAAAGATGGTAAACAAATAATATATTTGATGCCGCTGCTAAAAATTTACGATAAAAATATATGAAAAAAAGACTTAAATATTTTCTAAAAAGACTTAAATATCATAAAAGACTTAAATATTTTAAAAGATCCAAAAGATTTAAGCCTTTTATAAAATGACGTCATTAAAAAAAGATTTAAATATTTTTTAATGACTTAAATCTTTTCTAAAAAGACTAAAATCTTTTTCTATTTCGGAATAAAGACTTAAATCACAATCATTTTGTATTAATTCAGCTTTCGAAATATGACTTAAAATCAAATTATTTAAGTCATTAAAATGATTTAAGTCATTAAAATGATTTAAGTCAAAAGCAGACTTAAGTTTTCTGTGAGCTTCAGCAGCTGATTAAAACTAAACTAATATCTACCGTTGTCTCTGTTCATACTATCTTTACATTTATTAATTCTGATGCTCTCATATGCATCTAATTGCCTGTAATTTGAGACTTCTTTAATTAATTTTAAATTATTAAGATCTATACAATGTTCTTTATCACCAATATGTTCAGCAACGCAAGATTTATCCGGTTTACAATATCTTATCCGAGCCTAATGTTCTTTAAATCTATTTAGTTAGATTATTAAATTATTAGATTAATTATTAAATCTAAATTTATTAATTTGGAACATTTGGCTTTCCTCTTGTAAAAATTAGATGTCAAACAATTTAGATACGTCAATCTGACTAATTAGCTGCTTCAGTAGCATATCGGATATTTGTTTATAAATAACTATTATAACTTATCTATTTTTATTAGAATTATATATTTTTATTACAATTTTAATAACTACTAACGTTTATTTTACATAAAGACTTTCAGTTCATAATATAATCCTTGCTCTACCTCACAGTATTGTATTCACTCTACCTCACAGTATTAATCCAAAACGCCGGCCGGTTCTTAAAACGTAGTAACATTTATTTTTCAAAATCTCGCAAGTCCCATATTTGAACATTCAAAATAAAATTAATACATAATGAAGTTATTTAAGTACTCTGTTACTTTTGCGAATTTTTATGAAAAAGCAGCACATAATTTTTTTAATATGTTGTTAAAACAACTTTTATTTAATTTATATATTTTTTTCAAAAATCTTTTAAAATGTTTTTGTAAAACATTGCCTTACTTTTTTTTGTATTGTAACTCTACTCACAATGTCTAATTTGTATGTAATTTTAAACAAATATTTTTGTTTGGAATTATTAGATATACTAAATTTTAGATCCAGGCCATGCTTCAAATCATAATGAGGAAACTGTTGTTGGAACGGCCTAGCCATGACATTGAAACCTTTATAGGGAGATACTTTGTTGATAGCTGGGCCGAAATTGAAGAACAAGTTGAAGGATATATGAAAAAGGTAAACATGTAATTATAGTGAACGTTCACGTATATTATACAGGGTTTTCAATGAATGTTGTCAAGTACACGGGTCGCCCCCCCCCCTCCTGAGCGCGCGATAAAACAAACATATAAATAAAGCTACATAATATCTTCTAAATACGTACCTAAATATTTCATTTTTTTCGATAGTTTATGATATAGCATATATTTATGATAAGTTTACGATAGTTGTCAAAATCACACTGCTCAAACTTTCTTTTTTTTAGTTTATCTATTTACTTTTTGTTAATATTTAAATAATTCATTGGAAAAATGAAATTGTTCCCAACTGACAAAAAGTATAAATAATTTCGACGGTAGTTCTTCATATTTTTTATTTATAAATCCAATTTTTTGACTACGAAAGTTTTTTTTAAAACTTGATTTCTTTATGGTATATTTCAAAATATTGATTCTAGTTTTTAATTTTTATTTTAAACATTGGTGACGGTTTAATAAGAGCGTCAAACAATAACTGATATACCCATGACTGTAAACAATAGGCATACAATAGGAATGCTCTATTTGAGCTTAATATTGTATAATCCCATAGTCTTTTCCTTTTGGAAATTCAATTAGATTTTCTAGTAATAACACGGCTATTATTATACCCAAAAATAGCACATCGGTAACCTGGCATTCTATTTTTAAGAATAGCAGAAAAAAACAGATATTTAATGTAATTATTAAACATAATAAATTAAAAACTTACTTTAACAACTTAATTAGATTTACCCTACTGCTTTAAATTAACACATAAAAATAACAAAATAATAGTTTTGAACAATAATAAAACGTTAGAACGCAAGAATCTACTAGGCCCCTAGATGACGTAGAAAAACTGACAGTACAGGAAGTAAAGGGATGGAACTATCCTTACCTCTATAGTATCCTTGCATCGTCTAAGCCAAAAGCCAAACTGATTGTCTGACTATCAAATCAGGGATAATTTCGACAGACAACATGCAAAAAATGGGAGAAAATTAAATCTACCATTAGATTAAAACGCCAGATAACGTGTCGTTCTTCTTGTTGGGCAGACTTTAGAAAAGAAGGTGGTATGTGGATATGGTGTTTGGAACTCTCTATGTTGCGAAATAGAGGAAGTTTTTTAGCTGATTTCTACTCAGTTATTCTTTTTTTCCACCTGTTTACTGTTGAGTCAACACTTACTCTCGAGTTAGAAATTCCGTCACTTATAGACATCCAACATTGTTCTTTCCAGAGCTGCGACTAGTCAGGATGTTTCTGCAAAACATTAGAACGCAAGAATCTACTAGGCCCCTAGATGACGTAGCAAAACTGACAGTACAGGAAGTAAAGGGATGGAACTATCCTTACCTCTATAGTATCCTTGCATCGTCTAAGCCAAAAGCCAAACTGATTGTCTGACTATCAAATCAGGGATAATTTCGACAGACAACATGCAAAAAATGGGAGAAAATTAAATCTACCATTAGATTAAAACGCCAGATAACGTGTCGTTCTTCTTGTTGGGCAGACTTTAGAAAAGAAGGTAGTATGTGGATATGGTGTTTGGAACTCTCTATGTTGCGAAATAGAGGAAGTTTTTTAGCTGATTTCTACTCAGTTATTCTTTTTTTCCACCTGTTTACTGTTGAGTCAACACTTACTCTCGAGTTAGAAATTCCGTCACTTATAGACATCCAACATTGTTCTTTCCAGAGCTGCGACTAGTCAGGATGTTTCTGCTCCATCTGTCAGTACAAGAAGCGCACATTGATGAAAACCTTCCTTTTGACACACGGATATTGGATATATCAGAGTTTATCCAAACCCAAATCTTTTTCTTTATTGCAATATACAGGGTGTCCCAATATTCCATGGACATAGAACTACTCGCAACCCTACATAAATTTTAGTATAAATATTTTCCAACAATAGATTTTCTTTTCATAAAATGGTCCATCTAGTACTTACTACATTTTTTGTTTCTTGTAAAAAAAAACGACACATCGCATGGTTTTTGAGAAAAAAATGTTGTAGAATTAATTTTTCCAAAGCAGACCTACAAAATATATAGGGTGTTCTAATATATTATTGCACATAATTTACCTTTATACAAAAGTGCTTCGTTTGTCCGTTAGAAGGCATCAATTTAAAATACACCCGAACGTTAATTAATTTAAAATTTTAATTTTTATCAAGCTTATTGTCAAATATTTACAGGAAACAAAAAATGTAGTAAATACTAGAAGGACCATTTTATGAAAATAAAATCTGTCGTCGGTTAAATTGGAAATTACTTATACTAAAATTTATGTAGGGGTGGGGATAGTTTTCACCCTACCCGTATTTTTTCTTAATTTTTGTGAAAGTCAAATGTTTTTGTTACACTTCGCAAAACAAAGACACCGAAAATCTCATTCAAATTGAAATAACGATGCTCAAAATACCTGAAAAATGTGTTTTTAACGTATGATACCCTCGCAGACAAACGAAGCACTGTTTTGTAGAGCTAAATTGTGTCCAATGAACTTATTATGAATCCAAAAATACGTTGTAGTTCTATGTCCACGGAATATTGGGACACCCTGTACAACCTCTAATATTAAATATTTGTAATAACTGACTCATACACACATAATGACAGATTACATAATTCTAATTTTGGTATAAAATATTTATAAACTGTTAATGGTTGAAAACAGTTTACATTTTTCTAGCTGCCATCGAGATTCGAAAGTAAAACCACCAAAGATTTCACTAAAGATGAAAAGCATGTTATTTTAGATGACAGTCGTTACGATATGTATTCAGATTCGCCAAACGATTCGGTCTCTGACGAAATTTCAGGATCTACTTTGTGCAGAGATATACTAGAAGAAATTATAGATGCAGTAGAAAAAGATGTAAGTATTGTTTCTAATGCACCTAGTTCGCCATACCATCTGATTTGTACCAATCTTGGTTTTCTATAATTCTATCACCAAGATAAACAACTTAAAATATTATAATAATTATTGTGCTAACAAATTCGAGGTACGAGCATTGGTATCTCTGTAACCGTAATAGATACGAACATATAATAATAATTAAATTGCGGCAAAGTTTCTGGGATGTTCACCAAGATGTCATCAAAAAAGTTTTAAAAATTTCAAGGATTGATGAGGATTTCTTTGAAAATCAATTTTATTTTTTTCTGTCGTTACTTTTTTGAAAATCAAAAAACCAATTTGACATTTTTATAGCCACTTTATTAGGGCTATCTGATAGTATTTTCAGATTTTCAAATTAGCTGGTAATTTGTGAGATACAGAGGCCAACTTAATTTTTTTAAATACGGACCTGTATTTTATATTTCAGGTTTTGATTGATGAAAGAACTCGGTATCCTAAGTACAATGATATGCCACACTTAATTTTCTTTTATTTCGGACATTTGAACACAATTTATTTAAACTAATTTCAAGTCCGGCTCTGTTTTTTTTTTAAATATTTATTAATCTACTCATTCACATTCAAATTTCACAATATCGATAAGCCTTCAAACTTAACAATGACGTGGGGTAAAACATTGAATACGGAAAATCAAATGCAATAAAATAATATAGAGTATATAAATAATACAAATATAATATAATATAAACAATCAAATAATTTTTTCCTCGGAAGATGGATTGTTAATGGTAGAGCAGAGTATAATGGCCAGCGAGGGGGGAGGGCATGCATTCGGAAGTATAAGAAGAAGATATGTTCAATGAGCTATAAATAACATTGAACGAAAAATAAATTTGTGCAATAGGGAGGGTGGTAACTGATAACCGTTTCAAACATGTAGAGCATTAGAAACTAGTAAACTAGTTAGAAACTGTAGAAAGCGATTTATTTATAATAACTAGGATTAATATTACGAATATCTAGATATTCTTAGATCGTATACTGAGATTTCAAATTCATAATAAAAAAGTTAAAAATAATATATTTAAATTGCTGACTTGGATATAATTTATTTGAATCTTTCAATTGGCTCGATTTTCCTTATTCAATATTAATTAGTGCTGATTAATATTGTTGCCAGGAATATAGTCAGATTAAATCATTTAAAAAGAGTAGGAAACAATAATTAAATACTTTTGTTGTTGTTAAGGTACCCAAAACAAAAAAAAAAGTATAAAGTGTGGCATATCATTAGAGAACAACGGCATACGGTCGAGTCGGCCGCTCCTGGTACGTATACGTAGACGTAAAGAATCTTTTACGTGTATAAAAAATAGAAAATATAAGAAATGCGCATGCGTACGTAAACGTTTACGTGTTTGTAGGCCGATTCGACCGTATGCCGTTGTTCTCTATTGTACTCAGGAGTTCTTTCAAAACCTGAAATAAAAAATGCAGGCCCGTATTTAAAAAAAATGAAGTTGTCTTCTGTATCTCACAAATTATCAGCTAATTGGAAAATCTAAAAATACTATCAGATAGCCCTAATAAATAATAAAGTGGCTATGAAAATGTGCCAATTAGTTTTTTGATTTTCTAAAAAGTAACGACAGAAAAAATAAAATTGATTTTCAAAAAAATCGTTTTTTTTTTCAAAAAACTCAGCAATCCTTTGTCCCAATTTAACCATCTTCGTATCTATTACGGTTTTCGAGATACCAATGCTCGAATCCCGAATTTGTTAGCCCGGTATATACAGAAAACAGCATTTTAAAAAATATTTTAGGATCTAATCCATTCTATTTCATCTGAATTGGTCGAAATCAGTGAAGGATCGGAAAAGGAATATTCTGATGACGATGAAGTTTACATAGACCTAGGCCTCGATTTTGATATTGATTTTGCTGGCTATCACGATGAAGATGATTAAACACCCTGTAGTTCTTTTATTTATATTATTTTAAAAATAAAATAATAAAGTAAACACTAGTATTTTATTTCTTACTAACTGACCGAATCATTACTTTATTTGAGATTTAGGGACTCCCTGTATACAACCAATAATTATTTATAGGATATGAACTTCTATAAACCATGCAACATGCAATATTTATATAAAACTGTTTTTCATATCTTTGTCAAGAACAACGATATTGGACTTGTAGAATGTAGAATGTTTAGGACGATTTGACAAAAGTCAGTATCAGAGACGGATCCACAGAGGCTAGCTCTTCATCTCCGACATTAGCCGTATCAAAGTTTATGGCACGAACGGTTTCCCTCTCGGCTCACTCAGTGATGAGGTGTTCTCGTGTTTCCCCATTTTCGCCACAGCATCTGCATTCTTCGTTGTTTCTCAGCTTCAGTCTACTGAAGTGTTCGTCGAGGAGTGTCCCGTTAGAAATCCAGTGACAATCCGAAGATTGTTGTTACTTAAATCAAAGAAAATCTTTGATTTTTCTCGGTCGTTCTGAGGAAATTTCTTCTGAGTATCTTAGACCGTTGGATCGTTCCCATTCCAGGTTATGGATGGAGTCTTCCAGGTTCCTGAGTTTCGCCTTTAAGTTTGTTTCCACTTGGGAAGCAGAACGTTTCTGGTCCACTTAGTGGAGTGTTCGCTACTTTTCTAGCTAGATCGTTTGCTCTTTTCATTGCCTTGGTAGGTCATCCACTGGGTGTTGCGGATGACTGTGAGTTGAATGATGTAATAATTTTGGGGACGAATACAACAAAACAGAGATTATTAAAATCGGTCAAGACGCTGTTGAGTTATAAGTGGCCTAACTCATACAACTTTGTTTTATACAGGGTTGTTCACAACATACGATACGGAGTATTGTAGCTAAACGATTACATTTTTACAAATTGTAAGTTTTGGGTTCGATGAAGGTCTATTAGAGCTACAATTTAAAATAATTTTTACAATATACAGAGAGAGATTGTCCCAAATAAGTAAAAAATATTATAGTTGTATTTTTTTAAATAGAACGTATATTATTCTTTTTTTAGATTCTACGATTGAAATAAAGCTAAATTTAATTAAGCTTTATCACACTTAAACCTTGCCGTTTTTGAAATATTTTCAATTTTATGAAATTGCGGTAAAAATTTTAACGCTTCATTTCTCCAAGGGTATCGAAGTTTTTAACACTAAATATTTATTGAAGTTCATTTGTTGATCAGATATTGTGTTGCAATAATAAACAAGATACTACCTTATACAGAGTGTCTAAAAATTTATATTAAACTAGTTGAAGCCTGGCGCATCCTCCACGACATGCGACATCAGGAAAAAAAAATACTTTCTATTTTTTTTTTAATTAAATGAAAAACAAAAAATCCGGCGACAGTTTTTAGAAGAGCCAATTAGCTATCTTTTAGTAAAAAAAAGCAACTTCCTAGCGCAAGTCGTTACTTCTGTAGAGACGACACAGATAAACATAGCATTTTATATATGTAGATAATTACTAACTTTAAACAGCAATAACTTGTTTAATTTAAATGAAACATCCTGTATATTTTGCGAGAATCAGATGCACAATTTAATTGTCTATCAAATTGTATTATACCACTTTTTACCTATCTCTTCAAATTTTCGAATAAAATGCATTTTTTATAATTTAAAACTCATTTATCACTATACCCATGGAATATTGACATTTTAGATTATTTTTAAAGATGTAACAAATTTTCAAAAAGTACCAGTTACTAATATTGTCGATATAGTTCCCTTATTTCATTAAAAGATAAAAAATTGTTTAAATATTTTTTGTTATGGGGAACCAATTAATATGATTCCAGTATTCAAACTACATTAATTGACTGTTTACGTTGATTAATTGCTTCAAATACTAGAAACTAAATTTTGTATGTGTATTAGACAGTGTGGTAAAAAGTATTTTTAAATTGTAGCTCTCGTAGTCCTTTAACGAACCTAAAACTTACAATTTGTAAAAATCTAATCGTTTAGCTATAATACTCCGTGTCGTATGTGGTGAACAACCCTGTATGTATATATTAATATATTATTTCTTATGATATTCAATTACTCTCTGAGCTTTGAAGTGTCAAAAGTCAAGAATACAGTTGGTGAATATTACCATTCGTTCGTATTCATTCGCATTCATTTCGCATGTTTTTAAAAAAGGTTGAATAGTATATCATTTTTATTTATACACCCTGTATGTATATACTAATATATTATTTCTTATAATATTTAATTACTCTTTGAGCTTTGAAGTGTTAAAAGTCAAGAATACAGTTGGTGAATATTACCATTCGTTCGTATTCATTCGCATTCATTTCGCATGTTTTTAAAAAAGGTTGAATAGTATATTATTTTTATTTATTTATTAATATCTCCGAAGCTATCAAAACATATTTAATAATATCTTGGGATTATGTAAAGTGATTAGAAAGGAAGCCAAAAGTACAATAATATACAGATTGTTCCATTAAAAAAAAATCATCCCAATATATTCACACTTTTTTGAAACACCTTAATTACTAAGTCTTTTATTATAGGGGCTAGATAATATGCCCGACCCTGTATAGGTGTCGATGTCTGTCCAACGACAAAATCCTTGACAGTGATAGATGTGTCTGTCATTTTAATTTTAAAGTAGTTTATTTTATTTTACAAAGAAATAAGTTGGTACAATTGGAATGCATAATTAATATATTTAAATTTTGAGTGACAAGTGATTACTTCAAAATATTGTGAAAAAAACTGTATAACAATGAAAAAATCTAATCTTGGTTAATTAACTTTAATCTTAATTTTTTTGCAGTACTAAAATGTATTATTTACCTATCGTGTTGTTATTTTACAGATACTCCAGTTTTTGGTACCACATAGGAGATGGTATACAACTTTATTTGTGGCTAATACAACTCTCTGGCCATAGTCTATGGTAAAGTGTGTCTCTGGCTGTCTCTATGAACCGAATATTAACTGTAAACTATGGTCTGGGTCAACAATTAATATTCCTTCGAGTTTTCCTCCATTTAATTTTAAAAAACACGAAACACAAGTCACAACACAGTCCAAAATGCAAAATGCAAAATATTTATCATTTCTATTTGACATAATTTGACACAAAATTATAACCGATAATTTGGCAAGAGTTTGACAACTCTAAAAAATCTTAAGTCGAGTTCATACGCACAGGTGTCCGTTTGTCGTTCATCGTTGCCTCAAACCAATAATATTGAAATATGATCTGTCGTTTTTGAAATAAACCAATAAAACTGATTAAAATCAACAAGAGACGACGCATGACGTATTTATTTATAAATCCATCCATAGTTAACTTAAAAAATATTAGAAACTTTTTTTAGTGAAATAAATGGATTGGTATGGAAGTCATCTGCTTTTTTTCTGTCATCGTCTGTCGAAATCTTACCTGAGAAGAAAAAACAGAGTATAATATATTCAATATGTTGTATTATGAAATTTTGAAAAGTGACAATTAAGACAAAATCAAGTAAATTGAAAGTTTACGGGTTTTTGCTCCTTGCTGTATACAGGGTCCGGCAATAGTGCGTCGGGCATCTGTAGCTCCTAGAATAAAAAACTTGAGAATTTTATTTAAGTGCGAATCTAAAGTATGTGCCAGTATGTATTTCAAGAAAATATTTTAACTTCTATAGGGTGGCTCAAAAAAGTGTGAGTGGACCTTGATGATTTTTTTTAAATGGAACACCCTGTATATTATTGCAGTGTTCCATTTAAAAAAATCATCCAGGTCCACTCACACTTTTTTGAGCCACCCTATAGAAGTTAAAATATTTTCCTGAAATACATCCTGGTACATACTTTAGGTTTGCACTTAAACAAAATTCTCAAGTTTTTTATTCTAGGAGATACAGATGCCTGATGCACTATTGCCGGACCCTGTATAATAAAATACTCTATTATAGATTTCAAAGTAGACAAAAAATACTATTGTAGTTAATAGTACACACTGACAGGTAACTTCTCTGAAGATACAGATAAAAACTAGCTCTGTAACTAGTTACGAAACACCAATAAAGAAAAGCATTTTCTTTGGACCGTTAAGAGCAACGGAAGAAAACACCATTTAAAAACGAAATATTCTAGGTTAGTACTTCGAATACGTAATTATTTCGAACAATTACGTCGAGAAGAATTTTAAAATGAAACGAGTAGCCAAAGCATTTCCTAGAGGAGAGCTGGGTAATTCTGATTTTTTACAGAGGTGATTTAATTCAAACTTTGATTTACAAATACAATAATGCTTATTCTTGTTAAACTAATATCTAATAAAAAAAGTTCTATGAGTATTTCATCACATGCACTGTAACAGCGCTTTCAGATGGAGCGGACCGTCCGTCGTGTTTTTTCAAGGTAGCCGTCGGACGAACTCCATCAGACGGAGCATACGCGCCCATGTGAAATTGTTCATATAAACTCATGGTACTTGCTCGAAGTCGCGGACGCTTTGTCGCGGACGGTCCATCCGCTCCATCCATAGACTTAAAATAAAATAAGTCTATGCTACAAAATAAAATAGTTATTTTTTGTAAATACTGATGCGTTAATACAACGGAGACCAACTTGCCAGCAGTGATTTATTAATAAACAAATTTGCCGGACAAAAAAAGCTTGACATTTTGGGAAGTATATGTCTTCCATTGTTACTTTGAATGTGGGAGACAATGTTAAAACCGATTTAAACATTAATCATATGTGAAAGAAACATCGGAGAAGATCAGACGAATAGCTAAGCAATATAACATTAAAACTATTTTTAAGTCTGGGACTACTTAACTCTAAGAAGTATCCTAACAAAAACAAAACCTAAATCATCAAACTAAGAGAAAGAGTGCATCTGCCAGATACCTTGTGAGTGCGGTGAGTCTTATATTGGAGAGACAAGACGTCCTCTACAGGTACGACTTGACGAACA